AAATATACACAAAATATATTTTTTTCAAATATCTGACTGACTAAACTAGTCTGGGTCATATGAGCACAACAATGTATGTTTTCCTGGTATTTGCTGAATATTTTTTTATTTTAAACTTTGCATAGGTGGATGGTGTCTGTAAAATCCCTTGTCCTGGAGCAGAACTCAATACATTATAATAATTTAAAACAATTAAAGAAATACTAAAATTATATATTATGACAATTAAGTATAAGTAGTCATATAAATGATTATAAAAGTATCGATAAATTGAATTAAAAATAATTTTTTAGATATTTTCCAACTCCGTTGAAATTTGTCCCTAGTTTTCGTCAACACCGTCAGACATGAAAAGAATGTAAAAAAAATCAGGCATTATTTGGGGGCACCAGAACTTCTGAGGACCCCATGACGTCGTCTTTTTTCTTCCTTTGCTAAGAGGGCTAGTTAGCTCCGGTTAGCTTAAGTTATTCTTTAGTTTTTTCTTCTGTTTTATTCCTAAGTTGCTTGTCACAACCATGATGTGTCAACACCATATCTGACAGTTTTCAAAACTTTGATGAAATTTTGTGAAATAAAAGCTTAATTTTGGTAAACTGTAAAGATTTCATGGACCTGATGAGCTACAATATGGCCTCCTTCAGAATAACATCATATAAATTGAGGTAGTTTGGCTTTTTTTCAACTCCATCAGAGTTTTTCTGACTCTTTCAGTGAAATTGTTGTCAAATCTCACTTAAATGTGCAATTAATTCATTTTAATGTATTTTACATAAATTGTTACTTCACATGTATCAAGTTTTTCATTTTACTCACTAGTTTGTCACCACCTTCAGTTCTGTCAACTCCGTCATGCATTGTCAACTCCGTCAGATGGACTTTTTGTTGTTTTTGTTTTAAATATTTCTTTTGTTTCTTGAGAAGCATTTGTCTGTAAAATGAGTAAAAATATCACTAATAGTGCATTTTAAAAATAATTTTATATTTATTTTGTCAGATGGTGATAAAGTTCTGGGTCAGGTCGATNCCCATTTTGTCCCTATTCTCAAGAATCACTGTTATTTATCCTTGTAAACTCATTTTAAAATTCTCTTTCCAGCTCAGGGACCAAACGCCTTGAAGCCCGGGAAGTGCTGCTTCAACTTCTTCACAGGCAGGATTCCCATCGGCGAGATTCGGTCCATCGCCAAAACTCACGAGAGCTGCACCAAACGAGGATTTGTGTAAGTTTTTGTCTCGCTGATAATCCAGGTTCATGCAAAGAGCTTTTGAGTAAAGCAGATTCATCCTTCAACAGGATCAACACCCCGCGAGGAGACTACTGTGTGAACATGTCCCAGAAATGGGCCATCAAAGCTTTCCTGAAAACCCCGAAAGAAGTCGATGCGTTCACTACGCTTCCGGTCAAAACGGCATGAAGGACGTCACTCAGCAGTGTCACAGCGGGGCTCAAAACTTTCTGTTCATCACTGAAGAACATAAAGTTCCTCAAAACAGTTGACAGATTTTGACTGTAATCTTACGTATATCCTAAACATGTATTATTTTACTTTGTATGCAGCTTACACATAATATATATTAGTGCTACTTCTGATACTTTACTATTAAAGTTTTATTTCACAAGAATGAGACTTGATTCATTAATAAATTGCAGAACAGTGAAATGTTATGAATTTCGTGAGTAAGCAAGTAAACTTTATTTATATAGCATCTTTTATGGGTCAGAAACCACAAGGGCTTTATAAAATATATTGAATACAAAAAAAAAAATCAGTTTAGAAATAAATGGCAAATTGCAAAATTTCCAATTTTGCATTATTGCATGAAACTCTGCAATAATCTTGATTTATTAGATATGTAATGACTTTAGAAAGCAGATTTAAAAATAATCTGTGCAAACAAAAATCATTAACTGCGTTTTCCTGAGTCCTATTCACTTTTTAGAGTAAATTACTGAAATACAATGATTTGATATTCTTTTCTACAGAAATGCACATGTGGACAAGTAGCTTGGAAAATTCAAAACTAAATGTTTATAATAATTTGTTCATCTTTTCCAGAAAAAAAAATACACCCCTCAGAAATTGCAATAAAAAATTTAAAATGATTAAAATTCAGGTGTTTACAGAGAAAAACCCAGAAGCAGATGTTGTTAAAGCATAACTTTAATATTAACCATATACAGTTAAGAGACAGAACACATGATAAACAAAGAAGAGAAGAAACAGTATTTATATATATATAAAAAAATATTACAAATAAAAAAATACAGCTAAACTGATGCATTCGGGTCAGTCGTTGAAGTTCCTAATGATCTCAGATTTGATGCAAAATAATGAAAAAGGTCTTGAAGGGGACAGATGTTTAGATGGATGCGTTTACAGATGGTTTATTAAGATGCAATGCAAAACAAAAAAGAATGAAACGGAGGAAAAACAAACGGAGCAGCCTCATGTGTGCCGATAGATGCATGTAGTTAACGCTTTATGTGCTGCAGGTTTGTCCCTTTATTGATTGACTCAACACAAAATCAAAGACTTTATATTCAACTGTACATAGAGTATTTTTTTATCATATGAAAATAAAACATTACAACTCTGAGGAAAAAACTGGAGATTTTAATCATATGAACTTTATTGTTTATCAACTCAAAAAGTGTGTTTTTTTCTATTTGGAAAAAATGTTTTTTTATTTTTTTTATTTTTTTTTAACACTTTGGTTCATTGGGCAAGTTTTCTTGAAATGGTCGTAATTTTGTAATTTGGCCAAAATGTGGAGATGAAGGTTCAGGTCTAAGACAACAACCGTCACACATGCACACCACGATATTAAAAACATTTCTATTTACTGTGACGTGGAGAGATTTCACACCAATTTGGCTTTTGCATAACGTCTTAAACATATGGAAGTAAAAATATACGCGAGCAGAAGAACGCGCCCGTCTTTGTTTTGTTTCATTTGAACAAAAATCTCAACATTATCGAGTATTTGATAAAATAACACAGACCTGCCACCGCACAGTGAATCATGTCTAAACACCCCGACCTGCCAGAAGCCACAACTTCACACCTGATTATTTATAGAAACCGGTTTTAATTTAAAATGTATTGAGGAAAAAAAAAAAAAAAAAACGTAGCAGAAATTAATCATTCTGTTTTATTATGGGAAAAAAATGTACAAGTATGCAATCCTTAAATTTATGGATTTAAAAATGTGAAATTCATCATATAAAAAGAAAACATTTTGATTAAAAAGGGTTAACTGGACAAAAAAAAAAAGAAGCTAAATACGAGAACATTATATTTCATTTAAATGTGATCTTTGCGTCTGTTAACAGAAGACATTTTTAACAAGAGAAAACAAAAATGGTTATCTTGAGGTGGGGGGGAATCTTTTGCCAACATATGTTTTAAAACTCAGATACTGTTGTAGAATCATATTTTCCTAGTTGTAGCTACTCTTTTCTTCGAAAGAAGTAAAATCCTGAGGCAGATGGAGATGTTGTAGCAGCCGACAGCAGCTGAAGGTTAAACATCTTGGCTAACTAGTCTGTCTGCAGCTGGAGGAAGCAGGTCCTGATGGAGCATTTCTCTGAGCTACATCTACCCGACCTCGCTGCAAATCGCTCAGCGAGTTCTTAAGGTGTCAAATTCACAACAAGTTAAAAGAAACTGTTGGCTCATCTGCAGACCTGTGAATAACTACATGTTTACAAATGGCTATGCACGGTCCCTGCCACGTGTCAACTCCGAGGAAGTCCCCTCTTTGTCAGGAAATATGGGAAAATAGAAAAGCACAAACATGCATTCCTCATGAGAACCAGAAGCGCTGCAGAGGCGAGTGCTTTGTGTGTCGTGTGATATGAGAAGGTTGAAGCTGATTTCTGACTGAGTGTGCGGTCTCAGGCCCACATGACACGAAGACTTCAGAGGAGATGGAGAGGAAGAAGAGCTTGAAACCAAACCGGGAGGCCGACTCGGGCTTTAAAAGATTTTTCCTTTCTTCTTGTTCTTCTCCATTGTCCTGAGAGAGAAATAAGTAAATTATGTTACAAACAGAAAAAAAAATGTTTATACCTATAGATGTGAATATTTTAAATGATGAAAGACATTTAAACAGCACAGTTTGTTAAGAATTACTTTCAAATTTTGTGTAGAATATTATTTTAATGCCTATAAGCAGTATTTGTAAATAAGCAGGATAATAAAATCCATGTTCCAATAAACTCTCTGATGTTTTATTGAACTGTGTTTACCTTCCACATGTGGTTTTACTCCATTTACAATGAAAAGTATGACTAAATAACGTTTGGATAAATGTGAGTCAGATTCTTGAAAAGGTCACCAGGGGGTCACTTGCTCGTCTTAAGCAGAGGATCATAAAGTCACTTCAAACACCACAGCATTTAGAGCTTTTTGGAAGAACATCTAGGCGTTACTGACTTGGAGGCGTCCAGTTTCTGCTGCTCCAGGATTCTTTGCTGAGCTTCCCAGTTGGCCTTCTCGTCCTCAAACACTCGCCTCTTCTCCTCCAGCTCTTTGTACTGCGCCTCCAGGTTCCTCTTCATCTGCTCGTGGCGCCTCTCCAGCTTTGGATTAAAAACAGCAGAGAGTCACTCTGACGCTCTAAATTAAGCCCGACTCTAGATGCTGCCACTGAACGGCTGAAAATGGGAGCTAATGAGAATTAGAAAGTTTTCAGTAAACGGTTTCATTGCTACCCTCATTTCCATGCCTCTTTTTAATTTGTTTAATAATGAAATATAATGTTTATCAATTAAAATAAGTTCTTCTGTTTCTTCAGTGTGAGCAGCACACCAACCTCGGCCTCTGAATCCTTCAGCTTCTGCTTCTTCTCCTTAACCTTCATTTCAAAGACCTGCTCCATCTCTGCCTCCATCTTCTTCATCTTCATCACGTGCTCCCTGCGCTCCTCCTCCATCTGAGCCAGAGGACTTCTGTGGATCATGGAAATAAAGATTGAGGTAGTAGCAGAGCGGGGCCCTGGAAACCCATCTGGAGCTCTGAGTAACGACTTCATAAATCACAAAACAAGCAGAATTTCAGTGTTTTCATATCTGCACAGATATTTAGTCATTTCTCTTTTCCTGTGTAATTTTGAACACCGAGGTCTTACTTTGTGAGTTGTCCCTTGGCCTTTGAGGTGTCCACCCCGTTACAGGTGACGGCGGCCAGTTTCTTACTGCGATAGTTCTCGTAGTGGACGTTGTTAGTGACGTCCTTCAGGTCCTGCATGTGGGTCCTTTGGAAGGACAGACAGACAGCAGACAGACATGAATGTCTCCCAAATCCACCAGAATATATAAGGATTTCTCAAACATGCATGAAAGAATAAAAGCAGGTGGGAATAATGTTGTAACGTAAAAAAAAAAAAGTAGTACATTTTACATGATACCCTCCCCTGTTTCCTCTACAAGGAGTTAGATATTAGATATTAAAAATAAAACAAATTAGGAAAAAAAAAACATATGATTACAATCTAAAATAAAACCCCCATTGTGGACATGATTAAAGGTTCTTTTTTTATTTTAATTGTAATTTTTAAAAAAATCAGTGCAAAATTTGCATTTTAATAATGAAATGTTTCATTTTTACGACATTTCCTTTGATATCTTCATTGTTTTTAATGTGATTTATATCTTTCCCCCCTCATTCTTAATTGTCCCGTTTGAAATTTGCTAAGCAAAAACTTTCCTTTAAGGATGGCTGTGGAAATAAATGCATTTTCCATCGACACATGGAATGAAATATATAATTTATCACAATTTACTTTTTTTTGGTCATTTACATAAAACTGAAGATTGTTTTAGGGCCAAACACTGCGAATTTAAAAAAAATAATGCACAAATTTCTGACAAAACTAATTTAATAAATGTATGAAAATTCCCACATTTTCTTTTCTGTAAATGCCTCAGCAAATAGGCGTTTGATCTGATTTATGTTTTGGAAAAATGTGTATAATCTCAATTTCCACTTTTTCTACCAGACTCATCAGTCCATCAATGAACCTGCAGCACTTTCTTTTATCCATCTCTTGGACTAAAACAAAGCGATTACACTCAGAGCCAGCAGGACGAAATTAAAAGTGCTGAAGTAAAGCTGCGTTTCTCACCGGATCAGCATGTTGCGCAGCACCGTGAAGTCGCAGTGCTCTCCATTCTCCACTGAAATAAAGTGACAAAAAGGAAAACGCAGCAGCAGTGAGAGACACAAACATTTTAACATTGATGCCTCCCATCAAACCCATCTTCCATTTGTCTCAGAGGAAACTGAGGCAGAAACGTGAATATCTAGCAGCTTCTGCAGTGGATTTCCAGTCGTCTGGGATTTGTTTGCTCTCCAAACAGACCGAGACCAACACGATGTTCAGGATGTTATTTACAGAGTAGCTAGAGCATGGGCTGAGTAATGTTACAATAAAACAGAGATATTAAAATGGAAATAGTTATAAAACTAACTAGAAGACAACATGTTCATTCATTCAGCGGTTCTAGAGGAAGGGGTCTACATTCAACGAGGTCTGTTCAGGTGGCGCCTGTGTTTAAAAGTGAGTGTTATCAGTTGTAGTAGCACGTTTACAGAAAACAAAGGGCAGAAGGATCACAGACCGTGATCAGACAGGATGGTTTCATCTAGAGTTTTTAAGTCGTATTTTAAAGCATCAGCATACATGCTACAGTTTCCTCCCCCAATCATGTCTGAAATGATTCCTGAGGAAAAACAAACAAACAAAAAAAGTCTTACAGCAAATTTTATTGTTTGAATGGTTTCATTAAAATGAGCCTACATTCAGGACTATTAAAGTTTCTAAATGAAAGTCTTCTCACAGAGCAAAACACTCAAAGTCAACAAGCCTCTGAGGGTATCTGTATGTGCACTGCTGCCCCCTACAGGACAACCTGAGGACAAACCTCTGCTTAATCATTAATGATAAATTGGTAAATCTGCTCTACTCCAACCAAAACAGACCAAACAATGTTAAACCCAAACCTGCAGGAACCAGCAATTGTATATGTTTATATCTTAACTGATCCACTTCACATCTACATTACATTGTATTGGTTTATCAGATAAAATACCAGCATATTGTATTGAACTTTGTGATTATTTTATATATTAAAAAAGGTGAAAATGACTTCTTTCGGGCACTACATGCAAAAAAAACAACCAAACATAAAAACTAACACTGGAACGAGTTTGAACTAATCTGGCATCTGATACAAAAATGTAACTTTTGCATGTTTTCAGTTTTGTTTATGCAGGAAAAGAAAAGCGTCCCATCCGATCACAGTTCTTTATTGGACTCACAGATGCAACACAGACAGAAGTGTTGTGGGTCAAAACAACAGCAAACACAGCTGCTCACACGTCACGGTTCGGTTAGACACTGAGACAAAGACGACAGGGTTATGAGGTCAGAGGGGATTCTGGAAAAGGACTGCAGATGAACTACTGGCTCAGGTTGAACAAGGTGGATCTCCAAGCCTCCTCTTCATTCAGAACGTTGCTCCTTCTAGTTTAGCCTCCAACCAACTCAGCAGCACATCATCACCAGTGGGGGGAGGAAGAAAGAGGACACCTTACCATTGATGAAACTTAAGCTGACGTTGCCCTTGGCCTTCCAAACCAGCCATTGACCTCCTGTCTCTTCTAGAGGAGGGAGCTCTGACGAAGGGGAGGGGTACGGTTTTTGAGTTACTGTGTGCGCCCAGCGAGGGGCTAAATCTGGGTCTGGAGCTGCTGGGATTGGTGCGGCTCACACGTGGCCCAGAACTGGCCAGCGTTTGGCCCAGATTCAGCCCAGATTTGGCCCGGCTCAAACACCAAAACCTGCATGTGACCAAACTGACTGGCTAAGGAGCACAGGTCTCTGTAGGAGGTGGGGGGGTGTGGTGGTTGGACGGGGTGTTTTAGGAGGTTTTGTGCATGACCAGCAGGGGGTGCAAGCCTCAGTAAGGGACCAGGAAGAGGAGCTATGTGGGGGGGGGTTGAAGAGAAAAATAAAAAGTTTCAACTATGAAAATAAAGATTTTATTTATTAATAAATGACAGAAAACACCTGATTGCTGCTGCTGCTTGGTTGTGTGATATAATTTTGAAAAAGTTAACCAATCAGAATACAGTTCCAAATGAATCAGGTATTTTCAATGCTTTTATATACTAGACTGGGTTCACTTAGGCTATGATGATGAACTGCATTAGTTAAATGAAATAAAGAGGACAGCCTTTTATTTAATACATGCAGAACTACATTTGAGCAGGACGTCTTTCCACCAAGTTAAAGCTCCAACATTCAAACTCTGCGAATGCTAATGAGTGAACATTTATGACAAGCCACGCGTTACCTTGTTTCCCTAAACGAACTGCTACATAACCTGCTAGTACACCAACATACCCTCAGTTACTCATGAAACTATAAGCAATGTGTTAGCGCATGTTGGATTCCAGTCCTTGATCCAAAGACACAGCAGGGCCTTCTCACCATCCTCCCTCCGCACCATTCAGCTCAGCCTGCGGCATCACAAGCTGAGCTGCAGGGTGAGTCGGGGCTCACGTTTAAGAGCGATGGCGACGTGTTTAAACGCCCTGGGAGCAAAGAAGGAAACCGCAACGTTAGGGTGACGTTTCTGTTGCAGATGGGGATTCAGCACCAAACAGCCTCTGGTTCTCTCCATGACAATTTACAGCATCAGACCTGGGAATAAACCTCATCTCCGGGCAGAGCTGAGACTTTTACTGCTTAAAAAAAACAACAACGATATTTCAGCTCTTTTTCAAGCAGTTTGCACACCGTGTTAACAAGCAGCATCAGGAAAAGCACCTTGCAGGATCTTGTAATATGTCAAGAAGATGGAAGCAAGTTGCTGGGAGAACTAAGACCAATACACTAGCTCATTCAGACCGATCTGAAAAGCGAATGTATTCTAGATTCATCTAGATAAGCTTATGTCAGAGATTAAGCATAATTAATTTACTGAAGTGCGAAGGAGACTTTTAGTCTATAACCCAAGTCTGATTCGAGCATTGGTTGGACCATCAGCCTAATGATGTGACAGCAAAGCAAATGAAAAGTGGAGGGAAAAGGAGGGAAGGGGAGATTCTGACAGGAGGGAGGTGGGAGTTTACATCGAGGCAAGAGGCGTGGGGGTAAAAAGTGAGGATGAAATAAAGTGAAAGATGGTTTTGTTTACCAAAAATGCCCTCTGTCAGTCATGGAATAGAGTAGACAAAGAACAAAAAAAAAAAAAAAAAAAAAAAAAAAAGAGAGAAAAGAAAGAATGAAACAGTGAAAGACTGATACATGGTCAACCACAAAGTAACAAAAAAGGTACTTCACTTTATTTTCTTGAGAATAAACACAGAGTATCGACTTCCTGGAACATCAACGGCAGAAAGGAAAAGAGGAACAGTTCATAGTGGCTGACAGTGAGGATGTGTGAGGTACCAGAGGACTCTGGGTCTTTTCTCCTTTTCCAGAATCCCTATCAGGATCAACTCTACCAAACAAGTGTGTACACCGGCGCAGAAGGGAAGGGAGGTGGGAAATAACTAACCGGATAACCTCTCACTTGTCAAAATTCAACACTTTACACATCAAATCTGTGTTTAAGCCGATAGCTCAGGCTAAAAACGATTCATAAACACAGCAACGGCTAAAGAGGAAATCAAAGAGTGATGGAGGCGAGTTCAGTCCAGGGAGTTTTGGTTTGATTTACGATTAACACATTTTTTCCTGACTTGGTAAATCGATTTCTTCTTCTTCGTAATATAGTTTGATTGGACAAAAAGAGTCACAGTGCCTATGGTTCCCCTCTGGGGATTTAGCTTTTTGTCGATTCCAATTAGATTGAACGGCTTAAAAACAAATCACGTACATCACAAAGTTATACAACTATACTACACTTACTCTGACAGTACTAGGACTGTCGGTAAAGTAGTTTCAAAGAACAGGTTTAAACTGTCCTATCATTATGCTGAATATGGATTCATATGTACTTGTAAACAATCCCTTAAACAATCATAGCAGCTCTAAATAAGGTTTGGCTGATCAACATTTTGACAAGTTAATGCATTACCCGGTAATAAACACACAGAGTGGACACAAAGGGTCACTGTGGAGAACATGCATCGTGTGCCAGTCGTTCTGGAAAAATCATGCCTCATCCATCCAAACAGGAAGTACAGCCTGTGGGATACTTCCAAGACACTTCCATCTTTAAACAGCGACATGTTTGAGCCTCTTTCTGGCACGACTCCCTAGCTGACAGAGTGCAGTGAGACTTCACACAGAACCAAATTAGAACCCTTACAGAAACTTAAAACACTACGTGGGTTTCTCATCCGTTCGGTTTAGCCAAACACCGCTTCTAGTGGCCTGTCTCATTCACAAACTCGGAGCCTTTTTGCTCTCTTCCAGACCTGGCCCTGAGTGAACCTACCTTCTGCCACGCCCCATGGGTACTGGCGACCTCTGACCTTCTTGCCGTTCACCTCTACAACCACATTGCTGCCAACCACAGCCAAAGGCATCTTTTCCTAAAAGGAGAGAACGAAAAACAGCGGCATACAAAAAAAAACGAACAAGAAAGTTGATTTCAGAATTTACAATCTTGCAAGGTTACTTGATTCCTTCAACTGGCCAAACTGGGAATGTCTTTGGGTTTGGACACAGTGAAAGCTCATGAAACACATCTGAACATAATCTTTTCTGCATGAGGATGACGGCAACGCAAAGTGGAAAACGCAGCCTGCTGTACGCCAGCCTCCATCCGGCGAAGGCTCCACATGTTCCACAATTTGACGTGCAGATGGGAGTGACTACAGCCTGTTTTGTTCTCTATGTAGTGATATTGTAAGTCAACTGGTCAAACAGGTGGGTGTTACTTCATTAATATTTCTCTACTCTACGTTTCTAGTAAAGTAATCATAATGTATATGATTAATGTATTTTCATATTGAAATGACTGAGTGTTGTGCGTTTTCGCAAATGTGACCTATAGGTTCCGTTTTGCACTATAAAATATTTATGTGGTATTTTATGTGATGGGAGCAGTAATGGCTCCATAAATCTAGAACATGTTCTGACCTCATATGACACTGGAACGAAATCAGGAAACTAAGAGGAGGGAAGGCGTTTGAGTCTTTATATTGTGGAGACGTTTGGGAGCTGCAAATGCCGAGAAAGTGTGTTTGATCTTTAGCAACCAAAGAGCTCAAAACCTACATTTTAAACCACTATTATTCATGATTGCCTAAATGGAGTGGGAGTCACTCGTATGTTGAAAATAAATATCTGCATATGATAATGTAAAGAAGAGAGCCGGTCAAAACAGTCCGCCACAGTTTTAACCAAGGCCTGTGTATGTTAGGATTAAACACTTAAATCATTCAAGAAGGAACACAGCTTGGGTTGATAACAGCAGTCTAATTAGTTTTGGACTAATTTTTGCATCAACACCACATCTCACAAAAATTTAAACCAATTTTGTTACTTACTGAACTCTTTAAATATTTTTGTCACCATGGTGCTTCTAAATTTAATCAGGAGTCACAGTGATATGCAATAATGACCCGACAATAACAACAATTACCTTGATCTTTCGTATGAGCTTGTTGTCCTCGTCGTCCTCGGTGTCGGGGAACTCATAAATCTTTATTTTGTGCTCCTGAATCTCTTTCATGATCTGCAATCGAGTGAGCAACTCAGAATCAAAGATATGAGACCCAAAGACAATGAAATGCAGTACAAAGCTCAAATTGGTTAAAAGTCAGAATAAAGACAGTTTTGAAATTTTCAGGAACATTTTGTGATTCTTTAGAAAACGTTTCCTTGAGACATAAATAGTTTGACTTAATTTTCCTCTGACTTAGAGGTAAATAATCAATGAAGGACATCTTTTTAAAACCAGGATCTTAAGCCAAGCACACAAACAAACACACCTTACAGCAGCAGTCTTATGAACAAGCAGACTATTAAGCACAAGGCTCTACCTGTCCAACACCACCATCTAGCTGTGAATTTTAAAAATCAAAAGACTTCATCGGTATGAAACTGTTCAAAAACACTCCTCGTTTTCTAACGATATGACAAAAATACTAAGCTTGAGCTGTTTTGTAACAGCATAAATATCTTTTGGACTTAAATTGTGGTAAATGATGTTTAATACCAAGTAATATATCACAAACACAAACCTGCTTTTTAAACAGCTGACACTCCTCGGGGGTCAGTGTGTCTGCTTTCGCAATAAGAGGAATGACGTTGACTTTGTCGTGGAGCCTCTTCATGAATTCAATATCCAGAGGCTTTAAACTGAAGAAGTGGAGAGTGGATTAAAGTCAAAAGGAGATAATTAACATACCGACCTTCGTTCATTCGTTTAACTCCTTGTATTAAGTTATATTTACTGATTTTTGTTCATTAATTAACTTTGAAGATTTATAGGCAGAGCTGTAAAAGGCATTTCAACTGCTCAGATATCTGCACAGTGAGAATACATGGCACCCATAATAATCTACTAAATATTCTGTGACTCAACTCTGTGAGTGACTAATTATTACGCTCTGCACAGAACATTAAATATCACAGGATGATGACAAGCACATGAGGTTTAAGGAGGTTCTTTGGATGTAACCAAAGCAGTGAGGATTTTCTGGAACTATCCTGTTAACATGTAATGTTATTACTAATGTGTAGTAATTGGTAATATTCTGTTAATTTAGTCTGTCAAGGCATGTCTTTGGTCCACAAAATCTAGAACTGAATTCAAAAGGATTGCAAGATGGCGCTGAGTAGCGCAGGTGGTGGCCAGATGAGGGTTTTGGTGACATTGGGATGTTTCAGCGATCGCTCGAGGACGAGTGCTTAAGAGGAAATGGCTCTGCTTTGGATCAGAGCTGGAGGAACTGCGTTGCACATGCACAAGAAAGTGTGTGACATCATTCTTCATAATTTTTTTTGTTTATATATATATATATATATATATATATATATATATATATATATATATATATATATATATATATATATATATATATATGTCAACATAAAGCTTTATCTTTCTACAGTTTTTTTTTGTCTAATTTGATTTGTTGCTTTGAACCAATGGAAACACACTTCTCATATGTGACTGGTAGATACTTTTCTTTGACAAGTGTGACAATAATAGAGTAGTAAAAAGTCTGTACAAAAAAAAATGCTTCTGCAGAAGCCCTTTAAAGGGCAGCTGGAGCAGAATGAGCTCCAAATGAGAATCAGCTCTGTAGTCTGGAGCTCGAGTCTGAAGATTCAGGCTCAATTAAATGCTGAGCTGCCACATTTATCAGTGAACTTTACTTGAAGTCAGCAGCAGCACTGTCAGGCAGTGTTACTTGCAGTAAAAAATAAATCCACATTAATGAATCTAAACCTTCCTACTCGTTGCACCACTTTGCAAAGAAGTTGCAGTCCAGTGGGTCGCCAGCAGAGGGCAACAGAGAACAGAAAATTAGACCAAAACAAAAGAAGAGAACAAACAAGCTGTCTGTCCCCTGCAGGGTCTTCACTACTGAATGTCAAATAAGTCTTCTGCTTAGTTGTGTCGCCTGACACGATGAACTCAGAGAGCTGGGTGTAGGAAGGCAAATATGTGCGCCATCACAGTGAAGACAATTGTATATGATTAAACAGGCAGTAAACAGTGGAGTCTGTATGGATGCAGCTATTTCTATTTACGCAATTAAACAATGCCTGATTTGTGTGTGTGTTCAACTGTGGAAGCTCGTGCAAAAACAGCCACAACAGACAAGATGTGTGCAGCAGACATAAAGGAGACCTAGATAAAGTTTGTGTCCTGCTGTTCCAAAAGCGATTTGAGTGTAAGCAGCTCTAGATAAAACAGGAGTCAGGTTGTCTGTGCTCAGACTTAAGGGAGACAAGATATTGAGTGTTCAAGAATTTCTGTGATTTAGAACTCATAAATTAGCTGAAAAACACTGGCGGTGATTTAAGAAACCACCAATAAAACCCATTTCAGCCAGACAAAATTTCATCCGCTGATGGAACCTTTTCTGGAAATCTACCCACTGGAAGACGGTCGAGCCTGGAAACGCGCCTGGAGCTTACCTCTAAAACAAGATTTATACGCTTTCAAATTTTACAGCTTTCTGTGAATTGAGGGGAGGTGGGAGCGGCTCTGGAGTGTGTTTCAGCTGTTTGGCAGACAAGATTTAAAAGGGGAAAGGCGGCTGCTTTGAAACTGCACTTTCGTCAACGTCTCTGAAGTTACAGAGACATTTACAGGGTATGTTGAAAAAAATGAACCTGATTATTTACAATTTTGTCAGTCTGTACAACATATGAACATATATCTAGGACAGAAAGATAGCTACTTGTGTGCGTTTCTACAGTTTTTAAAGTGCAGGAGTTATTTTGCATGCACTCTCATAATCCCATTGTTAAAAGCTGCACAAACTGAGTAATTTAATTAAGCAGCAATGCATGGTCTATTTTCTCTGCGTTATTGTGCAGCTGAGTTAATCTACATGTTGAAAAATTCTGCCAGTTTAACAGATAGGAACATGTATGACACACTGGGGCTGCTGCCATTCAAATATTTACATATTAATGCAAATTACACACCTGGCAGGAGATTAAACTCCAGAGATTTATTCACACTCCAGGGATCATTCAAATCCCTCCTTAAAGCCAAAGTGGATAGATGGATTTAAAGTTGTACAAATCCACAGCTGCCCACACACACACAGGTTTCAAGATGACAGAAGAAGGCGTTTGTCTGCCTTTGTGAGCATCTATGACTCTCCGTTCTAATTGGCTGATTCAGTGATGGTGAGTGGCTCTTTTCTGAGCATGTGCAGAAGTAGGTTATATAATAACTTTTGTGGGTCAAACCTTGGCTGACTGCCTCATCATCTGTAACACAGGGAGGTGCAAACATTCCCTACATCCGTCCGTGCAATGGTGCCCGGACGGATAACACGGTGGCCATATTGAAATCATTTCCTCCAAATAAAAGTCTCAGATCAGCTCATATTTCATGCTGTACTCACCCGTGTCCAGAAGGCGCTATGAAATACAGGCAGCAGTGAACTCTGTTGTCCGGCATGGATCTACGGTTCACCCTCGACTCTGCGTTCAGGAAGTCCTCAAACTTGCTGTCGATATAATTTATGACGGGCTGCCAGCTGGCGAGATGGAGGAAACGGATCAGAGAGGAAGACTGGAAAAGGTGAAAACGTGCGACTGTCGTCATTTCGTACCAATTGCTGTTGTCCACTGCATCTCCAAAACCCGGCGTGTCCACGATGGTTAGCGTCAGCTGGACGCCGCCTTCCTTGATCAAAACTTTAGACTGCTCTACCTAAAACACACACACTTGTGAATAAATGTGACCGCACTGACGATAATCTACAGACTTCCTACCCCTCTGTCTTAGGGCTACAGACAATCAACAGCAAGGAAAATTGGTTTATTTGGTCAATGTACCAATGTTAGTGATGCAGTGCAGGATTGTGAGGGGTTTAATTGAAGCAGAGGTGAAGTCAGTGGTGTCGCCATTTCTTTTTTAAGGTGTCGAAGGGTAAGTGAAATATATATTACACAACATTGGTTGATGTACGTTATCGGCCAAAACAATAATATTATATCAAAATCAGATATCAAAAATGGACAAAATTAGGGCACTCCTAATGAATACTGAGCTGAGAGTAGGCGGTGGTCCAATATCCATAATTCAATGAAAAGGTAGAAGGAGAGACGAAAGGACAGATGAGGAAGAACACGGATGGAGGCCAACCCTCCAATCTCCATCCATCCAACGATGGGTGGGAGATGGGAAAGAAACACCATTTAGACATGGACACAAAGTCTGGAAATGCACATATTTTTCCATACTAATCCAGACTTTGTAAACCCTTAAATCAAATTCTCTACTTTTCGTAGGAACATTGATGGCATGCATATTTACTTGAAGGATGTGTATTCGGGAGTTAACAGTATTTTGAGGATTTGGAGTCAATCAACGAAGCCCTTTTGAGAGGTGAGAAATATTATCTGTTCTGTAAAACAAAATTAAAAGCTGTTTCCAATTCACGTTTATTCAAGGTGACACATGATTCAAGTTATTTTCTCTAATTAAAAGCAGTTAGCAGCACGAGAAGGCAACTTTGTTTGGATTTTGTTCTGTTTAGACATGTGTTTCATAGCAGACATTCTGGACATGCACTCTCACAGCTGGATATGAGAAGAGCGGAGAAGTGTTTGTCCAGAGAGCCGAGGAGAGCGCCGTCCAAATACTACAGTTTGGAAACTTGCCGTCCTGTTCGCAGCCAGTTAAAAAGGCAGAAGTCTGGCTGACTCATTTTTACTTAAAATCTAAATCATGTTTATTCGACTGTATCCAAACTGAAGACAATGAAAAACAATGTGTAAGAAACTCTTCAACATGCTGAGGCATTTCCTAGATCTGAAAACCAACTGCTGAATTCCCAGACTGCCCTTCTAAGCTAGCATCCAGTTTGGGAAATAGCTTAAAAATACTTGCAGACAATTTGCATTTTCGCATACACGTCTGTGGAAGATTCACAGAGGAAAAAAAACAACAGAGCTTACTCCGGAGGAGAGCAGTCTGGATGCTGGATTTATACATTATACACTTCCACATGAAACAGTAACTGCTTCCCATTGGCCGTAACTGTCTCCCATTGGACAGTTACGGCATGGATTATTATGTTTCACCTAGCAATGAGTTTTTAACCACAACTCCTGCTCACCAGTGGATTGGTCACCCAAGTGTCCAAGCTTTAACCCTATTAATAGTTGGTGGAATGTGCTGTAGAAGAATTTGTGCCGAGATCCGCCTCTCACGTCTTCTCTACAAGACACTGCTGAAAAATAAATGAAATGGATGGAAATAAATGATATTTCAGAGACGTACTGCCTCAATGACAGTGTAATCAAAGCAAAAGGCAGTCCAATTAAGTCTAAGGTTGTGTTACTTTTTTAGGATAGGCGGAGAAACAGGTGGGCAATGACTGATCTCCAAAAGCATTTTTTCTTAAATATTAGATTTTACTAAAAGTGCACAGTTACATTATGACTAATATGCAATAGTGACCTTATTTAGTTTAAGTGAAATTGTTAACTCCATTATTAGCTTTATTGTACCATAGTACACTCAGTCAGAAAATGTAAAAAACAAAACTAATTAAGTAAACTAATGTTAGAAAATGGATTGATTCTTGCAAGTGGCCTCAGGTTGAAACAGAAAAGCTGCTCCTCAGTCACACAGATTCTTTGTTGCTTTTTCGCTGCCTTGCATACTTTCACAGGCCCATCTGGTTATTTTCAGATCACCCTTTAAACTTGAACTACGGCCTTTTAACTCCAACACAAACATTCTTGGGTTTCCACAAACCCTGAGATAATCTGTCGGACTTTATAACTGAGCATATATATCACGCACCGCAGTCATTTGACATATCTGAGTTTGACTGATCACACGTCATGTGTGTTCAAATGAACGTGTTTGTGCGTGAAATGTCAGCCGTCCCGAAACCAAATCGGCTATTTCAACCGTTTCCGTAAGGGAAAACAGATTGGGAGAAAGCCTCAAAAATTTCCCCTCAGGCCCTAAAGCATCATTTAAAAAGAAATCTGATCCGCGAGCGACAAAACATGGTAGACTTTTCTGTAATATAAATACTCTGAGCCGGTCAGCCTCAGACCACAGAGGCCTTTTCCAACACGCCTGCAGACACCAACTCCTACTTGGAGGGGAGAACATAAACCCACGCCACAGTCACAGCGTGCATGGGAAGAGGGAGGTTAAGGTTCTTTAGTCAAAGACAATGAATGCAGCATTGTTCTCATGCACTGACTTGACTGTGATAAAGCTGCTATGCTGAAGAGATGCAAAGGCAAATGTCATCTACCATCCCTTTGTACAGCAGGTCATATTTTAGATATGGCAGCTGCTTGAACACTAAACACAACTTTCTCTGTTTCGGTAAAATGAGAAGTTATGATTCACTGCAGTGCAAAACTTGAAAATGAATTAAATTAAAGGCAGCCATCTCCACTCAGTCAAACAATAAGAGAATGGGAAAGCACAGTGGGTCTCAATTATGAACAACAGGCGCAGATATCGGGTGTGGTAATGGTTGTAGGACCAATGACTGATGAATCTGTGGGAACACTGGCTGATCCCAGCGCACACTCAAATATCCAACATATCTGGAGGCAGATTTACATGTAAAGGTTCCTGATTAGATTTAACGGCCACGTACACAGAATGTGATACAAATGAATGAAGTTAATAAATGTTTTTCTTAAATTTTTACTGACAGCATCTCAATAGACAAATGAAGTCTCTGCAGTATTGTATATATTTTAAAAGCCATATCTAGCATGCTGTGTTTATAATGTCCTATAGCTACTGTGCTTCCTCCCACTTTGAGTTTTTTATTTGCTTTTCTGATTGGTTCTAAACTAAGATGTAGCATGAAATTTTAAAAGTAAAACATCGTATTTATTTTCAGTTGTGCTCCTTGTTGGATCATTTTCATTTAAATCATTTGCTAAGCAGAAAGAGCCAAGCAGCTGAAGGGACCTCAGAAAATGTGAAGAATTACAGCTGGGCTTGTAATTTGGATTAAACGGTGCTTTAGATACCACAAACTGATTCTTTCTGAACAATCACACAGTGCAGCCGAGTTTTCTCACTCACCAACCCACACAGAGGCACTTCTAATCAGCTGAGCAGCAAACTGAATAGCATCCTTTCAGAGAAGGAAAAGCTGTGGGGCCTGTGTGTGTGTTTGTGTGGGTGATACTTGTTTGTGTTTAGGTCTGAAGACAACGCAGTGCTGGTGTAAAAAAAAGTGTAAATTAGAGTTGAAGTTCTTTTACAAACAGGATTTACGAGAGTGTGGGCGGGGCGTTTGAGATTGGCCCACAGGGTTTATTAACCACACAGGGGAGGGTTTCCAGCTTTAAGGCGAGGGCTGATGAAGGATTGACAGAATGTTGTGATGGTTAAAGTGACCCACAGAAACCTCAGAGGGATATGAGGGATCTCCGACCAGATGCCACGTTTTCTTTTTAAATCCTGTCACATCTTATAAACGTATCATTGCCAATAACTTCTGACAGACACTAGGCTATACCAGGTTTGATGTCTTCCTCACCCATCATTGCTTCTTCCTCCCCTTTCTCCAAATTCCTTCACTTTCCTTTTGCTTCTATTGTCATCTTCCACTTCCTGGTGGTTTTCTCCCAAAATTCCTTAACTTGTTCCTTTTAACAAATTGCTTCTCTTCCTTCTTTCTCTATCCTTTCTTCCAACAGCAGCCTGCCTCCTCCTCTTCAGTTTGTCATAACCATAAAAGGACACAACTGAACCTTGTGGCAGTTTTCCTCTTAGTTCCTCCATCCTCCTTTGCCCCAACTGTTTCTGATTCTGCAGCCTCTCTGTGTAAAATGCAGTGCACAAAAACTCAGATTATGCCTTCCACCTACTTTACCTGCTTAACTCCAGGTCCCTTCGAAATGTTAAAAGCTGGGCTAATTTTTTATACGCCCTAACATTTGATAGCTGAATTCAGGTATGTCAGTTTAACTGGATGCTGCACGTTCTAGTGCTTTTGTTGAGTCTCACCTGGCTGCGCAGCAACGTTTTTGTCGAATGTTTACTTTTCGGTTTCACAAACCTTTATATTCCCCAGAAGTTTCCAAGAATGATCTCAAAGGTTCTTATACTTTTAAGCTTCTTAACCTACATTTAAGGCCAAAATTATTCAGTCGAAAATAAAATCACATTACGTTTGTTTATTTTCTTGTGGCCCTACTTGAGGTAAAGTTCCTCCAGCTTCACTTAGTAACTTTCTTTAAGTAAAAACTTTGTTCTGAATCTCAACCACCGACTCCGACCAAAACCATCTGCCTTCCAGCCGAAACAGCTGGTTGAGCTGAGATTCATCTGTCATCCAAGCCTGTAGATGGGCTCTGGAACCAAACGCAGAGGTCCAACCACTTTTGAGTAAAAGACGGCCTGAATTCAGGCCACAGTAATCCTCAACATTAGCACTTTTGTCTTTTAGGTTTATTAAATCACTGATTTTGCTATTATGAGACTGATTTTTGACAGATCGCAAAACTGACTGGTTTATATAAAAAAGATCTGAAATAGTCTGACTATGTTAGCTTGGTTGAGCTTGGTTGACGTCTGCGAAGACTCCGTCACAACTCAGGAATGTATGGTGCCGACATTTTTGCAGATATCCAACTCATCATTCCTATATCTGTGGTCACTTTTATGGAGGAGGGTTGAATTCCTTCTATATAAAGACAAATTAAAGAACAACTAAATGAAACATTTTACATTTGCACCACAAAAAACGTGCATCAGAGTAGTTTGAATTCGTGGTAGGGCTTTCAAATTAAGTCATAAATTATGCCCTTCGTAATGTTGCGCTGATAAACATCTGGAAAACTTGGCAGCTGTAAAGTCTGGCTTGGACGTGCTGGTGCATTCCTTCAACTTTGGTTGGTTTATTTTTGATCCCCACACTCGACAACCAGCGACTCAGATTGTTGTCCATCAAAATACTGCAACCTCAACCACAAGCTGGGTTGAGGTTTTTTTTTGTTTTGTTTTGCAAAGTCCATTTTTATGATGCTTTTAAAGCTTTTCAGAGACCACAAGAAATGCGGTTTTAATCCGTGCCTCATAAATATTTAGACCAAAATAATGTTAAAAAGCTTGGCTGGATTAACTGATCTGAGCTTCACAGCTTTATCTGGTAGTTTTGGCAGGAGACAGAGTTTGAGGAAAAAATGAATATCCAAAACGCCTGTTTTATTAGGGTTCAAAAATGAAGAAATGAAACAAATATTTCCATGCACCATGGGGTAAAAAGTAATCTTTAACCGAATTAATCAGAAAATAGGCTAGACTGCTGTGTCAGTCACTTCAATTAAATAAACTTTATAGGGCACTTTTTAAATGGTCAAGTATAACACAACGTGCTTTGCAGGGCTTAAAAACAAAAAGAGGAAAAAAACAAAAACACTGGAAACACATTAAAAACGATCAATGAGAAAGAAAAGATAATGTCAAAGATTTGTATTTTGCAGAAATAACTTGTTATAAGAATAACAGTTTAAAATATCTAAGCTAAATTTAGGTTTGTATGTGAAGAAATTTGATTTTGAACAAAACTAAAAACTGTCCTAATAGTTTCAAACCGGCCTGATAAAAACCAGACCCTTGCACAATTTTCTTCATATAGAGTCTGGAGCATTCCTGGAGGCATGGACTGTGTAGAGGTTTTAAATTTTACCCAATTGTTAACGTTTTCCTGTGATTAACTAATGCGGCAGTTCAATGCCAAGTGGCTTACCTGAAATTGCATGTGCTGTAAACAAGCATCCTCCACTGCGCAGAGAGAAGTACTGATCCAAACGAGGCGGCTGTTAATGTTAATTAAATATTTGGAAGCGTGGCCAACATGGACTCAACGACTTTGTTCACTTCCTCCACTGCCACTGCTAAAACTACAGGCAGATTAAAATTCTAGCACGGAAAATCAACGTCATGATTCACAACTTCTCCTCCTCTTTCCTTATTGGCCTGGTATAAAGTCTACCGGAGAGAATCCGAGTGTAGGGGAGGAAGTCCAGACCGTGCTGGAAGCAATCATTTTTTATTTTTTTTTAGTAGAACTGCAGAGTAAGGTAATGGCCAGACTAGAACCAAAAAGACCAACTTTTTAAAACTAAATGTTGAAGGAAAATCTGCTTTCCACATTCACAGTCCTCACATCTGTGTTTGTTTCTGTATCAGGAATTCATTCAGAGAACTCATCATCTATCAACGAACAAACCCAAGCAAAAAAAGAAAAAAAAAGAAAAAGCAATTAACCACAACAGAAAAAGATTAATGAGCTACTGCTGCTGACATCTGCAAAACCAACTCTACGATGAAACGCTGAAGTGAGCTGCGATTTGGAATCGAGCTAATCCAACAGCAAACTGAGCTCACCTGCACAGTCTTCTTTATGCGCTGCGACGGTCCAGGGTAATCCTTGGAGTACAGGTCAGTCAGGAACAGAGAGTTGATGAGAGTGGATTTACCGAGACCAGACTCACCTGAGGACAAAAAGTAAAGAATCAACAAGGATTCTGCTGTTACAATGATGGAACTACAGCTGACTGTTCAATTCTCTGACTAGATATGCATGCACTGCACACACATTTAGTGACCTTTGGGAAATGGGTTGCAACACAGAAAATAAAACTGGATGCATTGTGTGAGGGGAAAAAGGTCAGGACCTCATCTGCCAGTACAAAAAGCTCCCAGATAGAGGAAATAAAACGTTTCCTCTCTACTTCGCCTCGGGGAGATTCCCTTCTTCAACATCATCATTTATCCACTCTCTCCGTCTATCTCTCTGAATGCCTTCTTTATAAATAAATCTAAATATTTCTGTTCTCACTGTATAAACTTTCCACTCCAACTGGTGACAAAAACACAGAAGATGAAGAACCGCAACAAACATTTATTTGACAAAGTGCATTTAATCCAAGCGTACACATCACATATGCTTTTTCTCTCTCACACACACACACACACACACACACACACACACACACACACACTTCATCTTTGAGGCTCATGTCTCAAAGATGAAGAGTAAAACTAAAGAGGAGGGAAGTCTGTCTGACAGGGCAGTCTCTGCAGAAGATATCTGATGATATCAAAACATAATTATCTTTTGTCAAAGTCAAAACTTTTTGAGATTAGCAACATGTTTTCCATTTGTGAAAGAAAAACAAAAAGATTTCCAATGCTTTGTTACCGCAAGGATCACCGGAGAATAAGAATACAAAACCATGAAATATGTACCAGTCAGTTTTGTGCTCGTTTCCAATTTTGTGTTTGGTTTTAGATTCATCTGATTTATTGTCTTCCACCTATCAGATCGAATCACGAAGCAACAGGTTGGGAAGGGAAACCCGGACAACTCAGTTACTCTCCAGCTCATTCTGGAAAATTCAAGGCATTCCCAGGCTACCCAATTCTGAATCTGCCCCAGTATCTCCTCCCAGTTCAGATTTTATGTTGTGTATTTTTTCTTAGGAATGCACCACAACACTAAGATTTTCTTCTCCAATTCTTTCAAAAAAAAAAAAAAAAAAATTCTTTAAGTTTCTGATAAACTGGAATCAAAAGTGTAGCATCACATAATTTTTTTTTCTCAAAAAAGCTTTTTGAATTCGTAAATCCATCTCCTTATTTTACCCACTCTATGCCGACAGTGTTCATACTTTGTTAAAGAATAAACAAAAATGTTCCCATGGCTCTTTCCCATTGTGTCCTTTATTGCTCTTTGAAACTTTGCACAACTAGATATGAAAAGTGTGGTTTTTTTAAATTTTTTTATAAAAAAATATTCACTTGGAACAAACTGCATTATGAATCCCCATCTGGGAAACTTTGCATTGTCCTCCAGCTTCAAGACAGGATGCCAAAGGAGATCATACTTTCTGCAGACATACTTGGATTCAAACATATGCGCAAAGCTGCTTTCAGCACTTATAAATATAAAAAAAATAAAATCAGTACAGCGCTGGCAAGCTGCATGCAGCATGAAGGAACTAAGCTAGGAGTTTTCCTGTTTCTAAATGATAATCAGATGTTGCTTGAATAACTTTAGATTGATTAGCACTTTTCTTAAACTTCAGAGTCTGTGTGATGAGCTATACTGGAAGCTTTGGCTGTTGAGATCTGCAGTAAGCAGTGAAATATACAAAGTCAGCCAGGTCTGTACAAATATTTGCCTTTCACCATTTCCTTATGGGCATACTTCTTTTTTGGACGCATTTCTTTTCCTCTTAGACACGCCCTTGAATTGAACAGGGCTTCCTTTATATTGACTGCGGGACATCTGGATGTTTAATCAGACTATGAAAACTTGGTGGATTTGTGTTTTTCCCCCCGCCGCCTTCAACTCTCAGCCGGTGCCCAGAGTGTGTTTGCACAGCTATGGATGATATTCTGTCACCGTCTGAGTGATGAGTTGATGAATGAATAATGCTTCTCCCACAGTCTCTCTCAAGAGGAGATGAACAACTCATCAATTACAGACTATTTGGAGATCCAGGTCCAGCATCCACGTGTCCACAGAGACCATTTTGGCGGGATGGTGTCACTTCTGATGCTATCTCGACTAAAACAAACAGCAGGAAATGAAGCGTCTCAGTCTGTTCTGACACTGTTGCTATCCGAGAGATTTGCGATGGACAAACCAAAGTAGTGCATGGGAAATAATTTTTACAAAGAATAATCTGATGAGTTGGGAGTATATTTGTAATCAGCCCACATTGCTATGATGCCTCTAAATGAAATCCAGAGGAACTAATTCCCTTCAGGAGTTGGTTTGCGTGTAACTCAGCTTCCTGTAAAGCCAGATGTTCTGTGAGGTTTAATCAATGTAGAAAGGAACACAGCAGGAAGTTGTGAGAAGTTAAGAGCTCGGTTAAGATATAAAACAATATCCCAAGCTTTCAACATCCCACCGATGTTTAATCCATCATCCAAAAAAACAGAAAGTATAACACCTATAAACATATCAGTAGAAACAAGGAGACCATTAATTAGAAAAACAACCAAGAAGTCAACTGAAACTCTGGAGGGGTTGCAGAGATCCAACCTGTTCACCAGGCAACTTTTCATTTAAGAGGTAGTCTTTTCATGAAAAGACTACCTTTTCATCAAAAGAAGAAGAAAGCTGCAAAACCATAAAGTTGTGTTTACGGTTTGTCAGGTAGATTTATGTTTTAAGGGCGACACACATCAGTACTAGTAGACTCATGACAAGCAAGGTATGTTTGTTAATTTAATTTATAACACCTCACAACACCAGCTGCTGTCAAAGTGCCACCCATCAAGATTCATGACACTTTCGCACTTTGAAGCAGCAAAACCGCTGGAAAAAGAGAAAGAAAAATAATACTTTTGGCACTGATCCAGTGATCAGTATAGCAGCTGCTGACTGAAATCTTAACTCAGAAAGCTGATTTGAATTTCAAACTGTAGAGAAATCAAATTAGTCTCTGACTAAACACTAAAAGTTGCACAATGATGACATAATTAAAGCAGTTTCTTCAAGAAGCTGACAGCAGAGACTAAAGGATCGGTGGCTGTGGCTGAAAGTAGCTCATCAGTTCATATTGCTGGTTGAGAGACTCGCAGGGTGATGGAAGCACTGCGGGAGTCTAAACTCCCTCGGGGCGAGTAGTGTCCCAATTAGCCCCCTCTTGTTCAGCTTTAATTAGATATCGGTTCCACATGACAAGTGGAAGTGCACTGCCAGCTCTCTGTAAACAGACTAATGACCTGGATGCCGGTGATGGATGGTTGACCCTTCCAGCTCACTCATGCTGTTCATATTCCTTCTCTCTGAGTAACTTCAGCATTCTCTCCCATCTTCCGTCTACATTCCCTGAAGACAACTTCGGCTTTTTGTTTTTATTGCTGAAAAGATCTGTTTTAATTCTGCTTTGTGAAAGAGAACAGTGAATGTATGGCTGCACTGCAGTTCACTTAGATTTGTATCGACTTTTGTCACATCCAGAGGAAAGTCAAAATATAAAGTTGGTTGCTGGTCAGTGTTCAGGGAGACTGTGGTGCCAGCCAGCTTTCGGGGTATCTCACTGAAATTAACATAAAAACTGTAAGACTGGAATGTTATTACAGTTACGAAACCATAACAACTGTAAGGATTGTATGTATTTGTTTATTCAATAATCGTCATGACGATATTTAACAAGATAAGCACATGCTACATGTTTGTTTTCTAAAACCCTGTCGATACTTGTCGACTGTAAATGTCGTTATTCATCGCTTATGGCGTGGAGGCCTTACGGGATCAACTTGGTCTTAAGATGTCTTTACTCTTGTTTTGAAACATTGTTAAATGAGTCAGTATTTCTATGCTAGTTAGCCATGTGGAGGTATTTTATCTGAAGTTTAAGTTCCCATGAGATTACTGTCACATCTACAGGCTTACTCTCATTTCTTTTATAAGACTTTGGCTTTTATTTTTAAGCTAATGAGTCCTTCGATTTTAAGTATGAGAACTAAATGATGGATATCATTAGGAACTTAAAAGTGTTAAGACACAAGTGCCAAGTAGCATGGATTACGTAGGCCTACCATATGTATGTAAAGAAAACCAGGCATATAATCCCTGATAAACGTTTAAGCCAGATGGACTGAGCACAACAGGAAAAACAATCCAAGAATCGGTCACAGCGGGATTCCCATGAGATTCCTGACATTCCTCATTTTTCTCCTCATTTTGTCCTTGCCGCTATCGGTCAGGCCGGAGGCAGCAGCTGGCCCTCTAACATCCTGACAAACACACACACCTCTAACAGGCATGTGTGAAGTCAAAACCACAAACTGTGAAATGGGGCAACTAGGGAATACAGATGCTTAAAGAAAAAAGAAAAGAAAAACATCAATCACGGTCGACAAGAGGAAATTTGTATTTGATAAACAGCAGACTGCTGGAGAAGATAACTGTCCATGGTAGCTGTTAAAGGGGAGTAGCTGAAACAGAGGGCAAAGGTTATTGTTTAGGGAAAAGATGAAGATCTCAGTCTCTGACAGATCCTATAAAAGAGCCAGAACCTAAATGAAACGGTCTCTGGATCCTTTCTTACTGCATCTTGGTGATCAAAAAGGCTGGCAGGGACCACAGACCACTTTTCTCTGACTTTATTATTCCTTTTAAAATTAGAGGGCAAGTGTTCTGGTGCGATCCACTGAGCCTGGGACTAAATCTGACAGAATCGGCACATGCTGGGTCAGAGCAGACATGTGCGTCTCAAAATAGAGGCTGAGAGAGAATGGGAGCAGAGCAGTGAAGAAGAATGAAGAAAACAAAGAGAGACTTGCCCGGAGTAATTTAACAGAGCATGCACGGACATGCAGAAATGCACAACCTCATTTTACCAAACACACATACACAGTTATGCACTCTGGCATATTAGTCTGGGAAGTGTGTTGAACCCAGAGGCAAAAGGGGAGACTTGGTCAGGAAGGCTGGTAAACAGGATGATGTCGTGCTCTACAAATGGTTGACAGCAAACTAAAACCGATCTAGGAAGAATACTACGCTGCAAAATACTGAAGTTGACT